GCCAGTGCTGCTGGTGGAGGTGGTGTGCCTTCTCCATACCCACCGCCCCCTCCTCACACCTTGTTCCTAGGGGCAGGGGGGAGGCACAAAGGGTCCCCCCCTAACATGGGGGTGCCCCTGGCTGGATCCACATGCTGCTATTTGTGTGTGTGCGTGACGTGCGTGTGCGTGTGCAGGATTGGCCAACAATGGAGGTCTGATAGATGAGGGGGAGAAGAGAGAGTTGAGAGTTCCTGGCTGCAGGCTGCTCCCGCGGCGCTCCCAGCCTGCCTGCACCCAGCGGGAGGACTTTGGGAGAGGGGTCCCTTTGCTGGGCAGCCTGGTTGGAAGGGTGAGCGATACCATTCCCACCACTGGGATTTGACAGCTGGGAGGAGGGTGACCTGAGTACTGGGACTGTGCCTTGCTCTTAGCCTTGATTGCGGGTGCAGGGGAGCACTCAAAACCAGCCCTTGTATGCCCAGCATGGGCTGGAGGGGTGGGTATGGCTCTGGCAAGAGATCCCTGATTTGGTCACATGAGCGCTGCTGGAGCGAGAGGCTGGGGAGCAGAGCCCAAGGCCAGCACCATAGCACCCAACCAGGCATGTCCATGGGGATGCTGTGACAGCACGGCTCTGACTGGTGAGAGGGGGCAGCAGAGGCAGGCGTGTGGGCAGGGGATGCGAGTGCCAGCCAGCCATGGGCACGCACTGGTGGGAGCAGGAGTGGGGAGAGCCGGGGCTGCAGCCCCAGTTTGCTGGAGCTGGGGGAAGGAAAGTGGCTGGGGAGAAAGCGCTTCCTCCACCACCTTCCTGCCATCCCTCCCCGAGCTGGCTCAGCCCAAAGCTAGGCCTTTCCCACACTAAAAAAACTCCCCAAGCTCCAAACCCTGCCTGGCCTGACCTCCCCACTCCCCCCCAGCACCCCAAACCCTCAGGGTAACTCATTGCTGCTCACCCACTCCTGGGTTCTGGGGGGGATCCCCCCTCAAATCCTAGATAGAGCCTCAGCCTCCCTTGGCTCCACGTTAGTGACCCACATCCTCCCCTGCAGCATCACGCGTCTTTATTTATTTATCTGCTCTTTGTATGTACCATAGATGGGAGGCAGCGTGGGCACGTGCAGGGTGAGATGGGAGTGGGCGGATGGGGGAAAAGCGACTTGATTGGGGGGGGTGATTTTTTTGTTTTGTTTTTAAACAAAAAGCAGAAGTTATTTAAAGATTATTTTATAGCACAGTTTTTATGGTGATTGTTGTCCAGGGCGAAGTGAGAGAGTGCAAGCATGGCCAACAGCAGGTGTATTTTTGTCTCTTCACTGGATGTACCTTTCCTGGTTGGGGACATGGCCCAATAAATCCATCGTCTCCCCAGCGGCTGCTCTGAGCTCTGGTGTGGGGAGGGGGACACTTAATACCCATCATGAGCAGGGCCAGCAGGGCTAGAAGGCGTCTTGCTCTCCCCTAGGAGCAAGATTTGGCCACCCCCGTGCACCCTACCAGAAAGGGCAAGCTCTTCCTCCACACAACTCCATACTCAGGGGAAGTGGGCAGCCAGAAGGGGAGCTGCAGGAGCAACCCCACCCACATGGGACCAAGCTGTGATTTGGGCCACCTGGAAAGTAGAGTAAGAGGGGCAGGATGTAGAAGGGACAGCCACCGTGGGACTGCTGGGGACACCTCTCCATCCCAGTATGGACCCAGTGCTGCACTGCCTGGCGGTGCTGGGACACCCTTCCCCACACAACCCACTAACCCAATGCTCCTGGAGAAGATGGACCCCCTGCCCTGCACACCAGGTCTCCAATGTCTCTTTAGCTTTGTGCTGGCTCTGTCCCCTTGCCCTAAGCCAGCCCTGTGCCCCCCTCCACCCCATCCTCACGCCAGCAGAAGGGACCAGCTAGCACCCCAGGCAGCCTCCCCATACCTGTTCCACCCGTGCACCCCTCTGTGCACCCCCTGCCCCATCTCCAAGCCACCCTGCCCAGGTCTTTTGGGGGAACTGGGAGTGGGGTCCCCTCCAGGGCTTTCCCTGGACCACACAATATGGCGAGTGTGGAGCAATGCAGCAGCAGGCTGTCAGCGAGGGCCCTCATCACTGTGGCTAATTTAAGGGTGCCGTGAGGCGGCTGAGCTAATTTAATTAGGTTCTTATTACAGAGAAGGACAAATTGGTCCCCGGGGGGGGCATGGGGTCAGGCTTTTGAGAGGCGCTTTATGGAGTGAAATTTCAATCAGGCTGCCATTGCAGGCACGGTGTGGGGAGCCAGAGGCAGTGGATGCATGGGAAGAGGATGTGCCCTTTGGGGTGCCCCGTGGTGCTGTGGGGAGCCTGTCTCCAGGCCCAGGTTCTTAGGGTATCAGTGAGGATGGGGGAACAGCTCTTTGGCCCGTTAGGAGGGTACTGCAGCGTACTGGGGAGCTGCTTTGGGGTGGAAGCAAAGGAAAGGGATGGGGGGGGTCTTGGCTCTGGGCCGGCCCCAGGGCAGTGAGAAGGAGGACATCCATAAATAAGTTTCTGGGGTCCTTCTGAAGCCACATTAACTCCCCCCACACCCGTTATAGGCCCACGGTGTGGACAAAATGATGTCCAGCTGACAGACAGTACTCACGGAGGAGGGGCTTTTCCTTCCCCCGATGTCCGCTCCCTCTCTCTTGTCACTCAGCCCCAGTGGAGCCAGGGCAGCCCCAGGGCTGCCTCACTGCTGATGGGCACCAGAAGCAGCCCCATTTCCCAGGGTGCCAGTCCCAGGCGGAGGGGGGGTCCCACCAGAGTCCCAGACGGGTGGTGATAGATGGGGATGCTGGTGGGTGGCCGGCAGAAGGGTCGGGCTGAGGGGTACCACAAAGGATGTCACTCTGTCAATTTGTCCTCATTACCATGTGAATGGTGGGCGGGAGGGAGAGGAAGGACATGTGGCTGTAGGATAAACCCCCCACATGCTCCCATCTGGGAAAGCATGTCCCCCTCCCCATCCCTCCAGCCCTGTCTGAGCATGTTAAACCAGCGCCAACACCCCCTGGCCTCAAATCCAGGGGAGGAGAGGTACCACCCCCTATTCAGAGTCTTGAAAAGGCTACAGGGTCCGGTGTTGTTAACAAGGGGGGACCCCATCCCCGTCCCCGCCTCTCCCGTCTGTCCCTCACACTGTGGCCTTCTGCTGTAGCAGCACCAGCGAACTCTGCTCCCAGCGCCAGGCTGGCATGCTGGGTGTTGGGGTCCTGACAGGGGAAGGGTGGGAGGCATTGGGGTTCAGGGAGTGGGAGCAGAGCACTCCAAAAGCATCTCCTGTTTTGTGGGGAACTGTATTTTCAAGTATTGTGAGCAGGAGGTGATGGCAGGGTGGGGATCCTAAAGGGTGGGAATCCTGTGGAACTCCAAGGCCAAAACTTCCCCATAGAGTTGGGCATAGCTCTGGGCAAGGAGGGAGGTTGTCCCCATCATCTGGAAACTCTGTGTGCAACCAGGCCCTCATGGCCCGGGTTGTGACAGTGATGGGGGAGGTCACCCCAAAACATCTGACTCTGTAGGCATGGGGACAGCAGGTTGCAGGGATCCCCCTCCTTGGCAAGGACAGACCAACCCATAGCAGCCCCCACGAAAAAAAGCCCAGTAGAGACTGTTCAGCCCAGCCCAGCCTCGCACACTGCCGGTGGGTGCCCGCGGAGGCAGCCTGTACCAGCCTCCCACGCTCACTTGCATTAGCTTAATTTAGCTTAACAGCTTTTCAGAGTGATGCTGCCCCGGAGGCAGGCGCAGGGACCTGCTCTCTGCAGTGCTGTTACGGTGGGGTCCCAGCACCTGAGCCCACAGGAGCCCTAGGAGGGTGCTTCCTGCCCCAGGTACCTCCACCATCTCTCAGTCTTTTCTGAGTCGCCCACCTCCTGTCCCTCTCTTAACGCTGCTGTGGCACCCAAATGTGGGGACAGTGTTGGGAGCCCCACCTCCACTGCAGGGATTCCTCAGACCTTCCCTCCCTGTGCTTGGCAGCTTCCTCTGGGCAGGGATAAAGATGCTTTAGCAGGCAGCAGCCTCTGGGAGTCAGAGCGCAGCCAGCTGTGCCTGTGCAGACACGGACAGACAGGCACGGACAGACTGACACGGACAGACAGACACATGCCCACCACCTCACTGGGCTTGGACACCTCTCTGCTCTCAGCATCACCATCCAATCCCCCAAATTACTCACTTTCCAGACCAGATACTTTATATCCCAGGCAGTGTCTGGAGATCCCAGGCAGTGTCTGGAGCTCCCAGGTGTCCCTGTGTCCCTGATCTCTGTCCCTTCTGGGGACAGGGAAGGGGATGTGTACATGGCCCATGGTGACAGCATTGGAACTGTGAGGAACACAGGGCACGGGCACTCTGGCACAGTGCCCACCTTTGCATCCATGCTCACCCCACATCTCTCAGAGAGCATCCTGGATCCACGCAGGGGGCTGATACCCTCTCCCCTTCCCACGGCAAGCCCTGCCATCCATCCTGCTGGAGAGGCACCCTCCAGCTCCCTCTTTCTCAGCACAGGGTAGAGAGCTAACACACTGCCCAAAACCCACCTTTCCCTTCCCTCCACGCTGCAAGGCAGGGAATGCTGGGGTGATGCTGGTGGTTCTCCACCCTCCACAAAAAGTAGGGCCTGGCAGGGGCAGCCAGGCCCCATGGGTGGAGTCTGGCAGCAGGCATCTGCCATTACCTCGTACACAGATGGGGAGCTCCCAGCGCAGCCAGAGCATCCAGTGGGATACGGCCCCAGGGAAACCCTGCAGCCATCTGGCACTGACCTTCAGTGAGTGGCTGCAGAGTGCCCCGGGCAGCGGGACAGAGGTGTGTGAGTATGCGTCCATGTGCAGAGGACAAGTAAGCATCTAATCAGAGTCCTTTTCCTTAATAAATCATTCATCTTAATCCAACACCCTCCCTCGTGCTCTAATAACTTCCAGCGATGGGCCCCACAGCCACAACAATGCAGCTAATGGAACGATTTATTTTCATAATGGTGCTGGTGGGAAGAAGGGGCGGCCAGGGTGGGGGCAGCACACTCTGGGGCAGGAGTTTCTAATTAGTGAATGAAATTTGATGTAAGGCTGGAGGAAGATGGATTCGCTGCCTGACAAGGGGCCTTTCAGCTCATCAAAGTGCCTGAACAGGGAGGTAAATTAAATTATTTCTAATTCTTCACTAACCTCCAGGGAGTCACCCTGCCACCAGCATAAGGTGGGTCCGTTCCTGAGATGAAGAAGTGTTTGAAGGACTGAGGTTGAGTGGAAGAGACCAAGCTCTGAAAGGATGGGGATGACATGACAGGATGGGATGGGGTGGGACAGTGGTGCAGGACAGCCTGCCATTGACTT